TTTTTAATGCAACTATGCCTTGGCTGATGCCTTGGCAAACACTTGGTCTAAGGAAATGACGATGCTTCTTTTCTTTCCACTACAGATGAAATTAAAAATGGAAATGCCTGAACAGCGGAAACACAGCCATCTCCATCCCAAGAAATTGTTCCCATCTCTTCCATCTTCCAGACAAAGTGACACAAGATCTTAATCCCTTTCCTTCCCTCCTCCTCCCTCAGTTTTCAGTTCTATTTCCAAAATCCAGCACAGGGTTAAGTCTGAACTATTGTGGTTGATTGCTGTATAGTACCTATGGCAAGATCTATATCCAGTCCCTATGGGATTAATGGGTTTTGCCTTAACTGAAATGGACCTCACCTGGAAATATGATCAGGTTTAGAGGCAATGAGTTCTGTCTCTCTTCCCAGTAAGACTCTACAAAAGGGGTTAATTGCTTTTGCCTGATGGCACACGGACTGACACACTGACCTAACTGACAGAACGCGATGGAGACGGTGTGCTTGCCTGTGCCATAGGCATTTCCGAAGCTGCTGCCACCCTTCCTGCTTTTACTATTTTGGTATGTTTTGTTAGTCTGCTTCTTAGATTAAATGTGTAGTTTTAGCAGTTTGTTGTTTTACTAGGGCTGTCCTGTTTACCCTTTTTCTAGGAGACGTAGATAAAGATTATTACTTCACTTTCATCTCTGTGTCTTCAATTTTTTTCACAGATTGTATTAGCAGAGGATGGTTTTGCTTTTCAAACGGCAGATTAATGAGTTGCTTGGTTTTTTAAGAGAAGACACTTAATGTTGCTGTTGAAGAAATTGTGTAAACACAATAAAGAAAGCCTGAGGAGGGCGTATAGAAGACACAGATAGATAAATAAATAAATAATATAAACATATAATTGGGGCATTTTTGAGGGAGAGATACATAGTGAGAGCCAGTAATGGAAAAGATATGAAGGCCAGGCCAGGATAAGGGTAAGTTGGACCTTCCTCCTCACTCCTTCTCCACTGTGAGAGTGCATTAATTTACATAATCAACTATGTAAAGGTCAAGTTAACAGAAAATTTAGCAGGAAAACTAGGAATTAAATTACTAGTACATTTTTGGGGGTTTCATTAAAAAAGAGATCCATGGCCACACAGCCTTTTCCTGATTTTTCCTAATAGTACAGCAAGCAACGGGATACCAAAAGGTATAAAACAAACAAAATAGATTATGCCACAGCTAAGAAGTAGAAGATTAGTGCAAAAATGTGTTTTCTCAAGTTTTACTCAAGTTTCAATTAGTATCATGATAATACCAATAATAATAATAATAATAATAATAATAATACGTGCAGGTGGCGAAACACAGGACTTTTTTTGGCAAACATTCCTTTCATTTTTAATTGGGGAATATTGCATTTGCTTCTGGCTACAGCTAAAAAACTAAAAGGAGTCGACTTTTTTTGAGATGGCAAGAGATTGCAAAAGACCAATAAAGTGATAAGATGATTATTATACATAGCCACACAATCTTCAGTGAATTAAAAGTGAAGTTGTGAAGGGGAGGAAATAATTTTTTGTCATACGAAAAGACAGCATTTAGCAGCATAGAGATGTTCTATTCTAGAAGCTAGTACACCCACTCAACATATTCAGATGCATATACAATTCCAAAGCTTAACCAGAACAACTTCCAAATCTTGCAGGATGCAAGATGAAGAGTTTCTCTTCAACTACAGGACTGTTTAAATGTTATAGACCAGGATATGCCTGAAAGTCAGCCAGCACAGAATAAATATAAAATGAAAGAAGCAAAAGCTTTAATGATGTTATAATCCTGTATCATGAGACTCCATTAGTAATGAAGTGTAAAACAAAGGACTACATAACGCTCTAAGAAGAGAATATTTCAGTGTGAAGGACAAAAGGCTAGTGTGCCGTCCTCAGCGGAGGATAGACAGTAGGAGACATCTGGATGTGTAGAGGGAGAACTCATAAAGAGAGAGGAAGAGGAATTTAAGAGAGAGAGAGAGCTATAGAGATATGTTTGGCGGAAGACAAGGGGGAGGAACAAGATCTGATATTATGGGATGAGGTTATAAAAGGAGAAGGAGAAGTGCCGGAATTTAGAATTGAAGTAGGCGAGAAAGAAGTGAGCAGGAGAGACCGCGCAGTACAGACAGACAAAGTGGAAGACCAAGCTAATAAGGTCTGTGACTTGCTGAGAGAAATTTCCAAACTTCCAGCCGGGTGGAGGGTATCTTCCGGAGCCTTCTTCGTTCAGGTATCCAGGGCCCAAGCTGTTCTTCCGGAGCCTTCTTCCCCCAGGGGTGAAGAGAGGGTTGTTAAGCCCTTAGAATGGACAGTTGTGGTTTATCCCCGCAACGAAGGCGGAGGGAGGATGGTAATCCATCCTGGTCCCACATGCAACACCCCACCCTTGGAGGGCGACTGGGTGAGGCAACCATGCTATGGGACGGTGTGTGCAGTGAGGAGTACCATGATGGGGCAGATGACCGACCAAGAGCACCTTGGTCCAGCCCCGATGTGAGAGGAGAGGTGTTTACGTCAGAACCAAAGATATTGAGCTATGGACTGATTCCAGAGTTAAACAGTCTTGATCCGTTTTGCAATATTAATCACGAAGCAGAAGAGAAAACGTTAAGTTTGTTGAACAGTTCAAATCGCCTCCGTCTCTCATTCCCGCCAAAATGAAGGAACCGTCACCAATTTTAGAAGAACCCAATCACATTCAGTAGATCAAATGTGATACTTTTGAAAGAAAGAATATACAGTGTAAAAATGAAAGAAGGAACTAGCAGGATGAAATATTAAAACATGCAGGAGCAGAGATATCTGATTTTGAGTTTCATACGTATATATTACTCAGTTGGCCACAATCTTTCGCAAATCAAAAGGCTATGCTTGAGTGTACTGCAAAAGTGGACTTGGACTATACAGTTTCCTATCTGAGAGATTCTGCACAATGGATAACATACCTGAAAAAATGTCTGTGTTAAGAATGAGGCCTGATACTGAGGAAAGGAGATGTTATGCTCAAAGACTGGACACATTGCCAAATATTGAAGATTTCAAAGTGTAGAAGCGCAAAAGCTCAGAAGCACAAGCGTTTCCTTTGAAAGAGTGGCCCTTAGTGGCCGGGGACATTTAAGCAAATTTCACACCACCACATGGCAGATCAAATATAAGATACAAGCAAAGGTCTAAGTATGGCACCAAGACTCAATAAGAACTGTTCCAATTATCTGATTATCAAGGTGTGAACGATGAGGCATTTTCTTCTTGACAGTGGCAGTTTCATCCACAGTTGTCGATTTAGAGAAAGCCTCAGTGAATTTGATACAAAGAACAGATCAAAGATTAAATGTGCTTGGAATTGAAAAAGTAACTTTAAAGAGTTCTCACTTCTAAAACCAAGGTACTGGAGTAACTTTAAAGAGTTCTCACTTCTAAAATTCTAAGAGTTCTAAGAGTTCTCACCTTACATTAACAAAAGCTGCTTTTGTCCCTGAAGCCTCAAATAATCTACTTAGTACTAAAAGAATTGTAAAGAATGGTTATACTGTCTTACGTAAAGGTGACATGGGAAATGTTATCAGTGATAGAACTGGTCTTGTACTGAAGGTTGATGAGAAAGATGGGTTCCATTAGACTGTTGATGAGAATGATAATATTAATCCTGCAATAGATGAAGGAAACCAAGCCTTATGAGGAAAGGCTGAAAGAACTGGGCATGTTTAGCCTTAAGAAAAGAAGACTTGAGGGGTGATCTGATACTTTTCAAATACTTGAAAGGTTGTCATACAGAAGAAGGGCAGGATCTGTTCTCGATCATCCCAGAGTGACGACACGGGACAATGGGCTCAAGTCATAGGAAGCTGGGCTCAAGTTATAGGAAGCCAAATTTCAGTTGAATATAAAGAAAAACTTCCTAATGGTTAGAGCAGTGAAACAATGGAACCAATGACCTCAGGAGTTGGTGAGTGCTCCAGCCCTGGAGGCATTCAGACAACCACCTGGCAGATATCCTTTGATCTGTATTCATGCATCAAGCAGGGGGTTGGATTTGATGGTATAATAGGCCCCTTCCAACTTAACTATTCCATGATTCTATGATTACATACAGTGGTGCGTCGCATTACGACTTTAATTTGTTCCAGCGAAATCGCTGAAGAACAAAAAAGTAATACGATTTAAAAAAACCCATTGAAACGCATTAAAACCCATTTAATGCATTCCAAAGGGCTGAAAACTCACCGTCCAGCAAAGATCCTCCATAGGGCGGCCATTTTCGCTGCCTGTGCAGCATACAACGTCTGTCCTAGTGAGTACAACTTGCAGGCTCTTCGAGCTGCTCGTAGCCAAGTCCAACAGGCTGCCAGGAGATGTTCCAACGATTATTGGCTTCAGCTCTGCTCTCAGATACAGAT